GCCATAAGAAGATCATTTGTAACCTTCACTAAAGCTGTTTCTGTGCTGTGATGAGCTCTGAAACCTGACTGAAACTCTTCAAATAAACCATTCCTCTGCAGATGATCTGTTAGCTGTTTGACAACTACTCTTTCAAGGATTTTTGATATGAAAGGAAGGTTGGAGATTGGCCTATAATTAGCTAAGACTGCTGGGTCTAGAGATGGCTTTTTGAGTAAAGGTTTAACTACAGCTAGCTTGAAGGCCTGTGGTACATAGCCGATCATTAGAGATAGGTTGGTCATATTTAAGATCGAAGAATTAATTAATGGCAGGACTTCTTTGAGCAGTTTTGTAGGAAGTACTGTTTAGAATACCAGAATAGGGAGGATGGTGTAGGTTTAAGTTTATTAGATTGATACATATGTACCAACAAGACAGTGTACATCACTGTCACAACGACGTTTGTTTTCATTCAAAGGCTTTATGGTTTTTCCTATAATACCTGGTGGGCCGGTCTCTAGTCAAAATGCCCGGGCTGATTTTTTTGTCCCAGTCCAGCCCTGATCATGAGAGATGTCATGCTTTGACTCTGTGTTTTACTTGCATCTATTTGAAAGAGTGAGTGTAAACACAAAAAATATTTTATTTTATGTGCTGGAATGTGCAGAAAATAGGTTTAAATGTTAAACTAATTTATTCAAGTCAGAGAATGTTGCATATAATTAAATTTTTGCTTGATGCATAAAGTTAAAAGATTAAAACTAATAAAACAAGTTTTAAAAAGAGACCTTTCCATTTGATTACATTTTGTATGATGGATTATGCAGAAAAAGTAGAATTGGGCTGAAAGATCTATCACTTTATCACCGCTTCAGGTTGTAAATCGTGCTTTTAAAAAGTAACTAAGTAACTAATTACTTTTGAAAATAAGTAATCAGTAAAGTAACGGGATTACTTTTTTGGGGAAGTAATCAGTAATTAGTTACTGATTACTTTTTTCAAGTAACTTGACCAACACTGTTCAAATCTGGAGGCACTTGAGTCAGTGAGGGACAGAAGGTCAGTGAACAAACTGTACAGACTAAAGTCAAAATGTGGACAATAAAGCTGTTGTTTCAAGTCTAACAACTGACACAGCTAATATATCCTCTAGTGTTGAGTGATACAACATACATTCTGTTTTCTTTGTGAGGTTGTAATCATCAGTATTGTTGCGTCTGTCCTTTGCCCAGTTATTAAATTTTGTAGTGATAAGAATTTAAAGTCCTTTACTGAGGTGCTCTGTTGGGTCTGTTCAGATGCATATTCAGGAAGGATTTTTCAACAACTTGTTCCCATTATGATCAATTCAGACCAATTTAAAGTTTTTTATATAACCTAAAAACTGTCTATTCCTACGATTAAAACCCAAAACAGTTTCAACATCTTACCAAGAGTGAAGAGTTCAGGTGTTGAGCGGCTCATCCCACCATCACGGATCCCCACTCTGCCTAAACACACTGGTCCTACCCCATCAGGCTGGATGCCTACTGCCCGAATTCGTCTCTGCCCTACATGATCTGCAGCTCCAGACACGACATCTTGATTTACACTGATGTAACCAATAGCAACCAGAAATTAACGCTGATATGGAAAAGGGAGGGTGACATTCGGGCTCTAGAGAAGGACGTGAGGCAGTACCTGAAGGAGGTGATGGGGAAAGAGCTGCTTACACAGGCCAATGTGATCACCATGACCGTGAAGGTCAAAGGTCACTTCGATATGAGCTGAAGGACTGGCTGGTCAGCAAAGGTTTCTGACTGAAAGAGCTTGAAGTGCTGGCATCGACCTGCTGAAGGGACAGAGAGCGGTGGAGGAGGACTGCTGACCTGTGCCAACTTAATGAACTCTTTGACAGCAGTGAGATGTGATGTGACCACTGAGTGTAAAATGATGCAGGTCAGGTTAAGTAATCATCATTAAACGTAGAAGCATAGCAACTGCCTGTTTATTGTCACCCATGATTTCTCCAAAAAAATAGGTAAAAAATCTCGACTCACCGTTTTTAGATTCTTCAGACTGAGTTGCAATTTGAGTATCCACATTATTATTGACAATATACACATTAGGACATTCATTACTGCAACAGTGTGCAACAACATTACAATGATCTGCTTTATGTCATGTAGGTCCTTTAACACTGACACTTTTCTGTGGAGGTCAATGTGTAGAAATGCTACAGGTGGGCTGTTTGTTTGTTTGTTCTTTAGTTAGTGTGGCCAACAAGATGACGTTAGACGTCTGTGATATGAGTGTGACAAACACTTTCAGCCTTAAAGGGTCCAAAAACATTTATTACTGATGAAATTCACAAATCTCTACATTCACACTGGGTGCAGCATGCAACAATAAAAACATTTCAAAATAAAACCACAGCAGGTTGTGATGGAACTTACACATGATATAAAATATTACACATGATGAAGTAGATTTCTTTAAGAAAAAAAGATAATTTAAACAAGTATTTTAAGCACTTTGGCAGAATTGGCTTTTACATGCGATATATTTCACAATGTTTAATAAGCTTTATACAGTTAAGCACAATCACTGCATGACAGAAACACAAGCTTAATCTCTCTTAATAATAATAGTGTACAGCTACGCTGCTTATTAAATAAAAAACAAACAGGTTACAATGCTTTTATTTTTATTTTAGTAGAGACTCAAAACTTAGAACAGACAGCTGCTGGGGTTTGGAAAAGTACTGAACAAATATGTTAAATATACTTTAATCGTTTCTGGAGCAGCCTTTGGGATCGCCAAAGGCTCTCATTGTCACCAGCTAGTGACACTAGCTGGTCATAAGGTGTTACCCAGTCAGCCGTGCCAACCACAACCCTGGCAATGTGTGTCTGCTACCAGCTTCTCAGTAAGGAAAATCGGTATTGACTTTCCGAAAAGTCATTAAAAGTGGCTAAATGACGTCATCGACTAATTTGCAGAATTCGTCAGATTATGTAAACTGTAGGAGAGAGAAATAACATCGTGGAAGTGAAATAAAGTGAGTAAACACCCTTAGATGATTATATTTAGTTGCAGGGTGTGCATCATTGGTTTTGCCCAGCGGGATTTGTGGGACGTCTTCGTTGTCATGGCTACCGAGGACCGCTTGGATCAAGCTGGCCATGAATGGTTATGAATGGGTTCAGTTTATCCTTTCTCCATTGTCCAGTGCCATTTCTATAGCACGTTTAAAGGCGACACAGCTGACCAAAGGGCTTTACAAGTTAGCTCATGCACACATATAAAATCGAATGAAATGAAATTTGATTTATTAGCTGTAATCTTTTAACTTTTTGTACACTGCATCATCATCATTGCATCAAGCAGCAAAAATGAAATCTTATGTGGCAATGCCGGCTCCTGTACTGTACTCCTGTAAATCCCAATCAACATACCATATTTATACAATTTTCATGTATTTTCTTAGTGGCTCCTTGGTGGAGGAGACACCCATCCTTAGGGCTTCCAAAGCTAGTATACTGTTACTGCTGGTCCCAAGCCTGGCCAAGAAGGTCACACTGCTCTTGATGAAGGCGGTCGCACTTTTCTCCTCTCCTCCTCTCCCTTAGTTTCACTGCTTAGCCTCTTATGTCCTTGTCTAGTCTCGTGTTTTTTGTATTACTTTTCCCTGGAACACTCTCTCACAGTCTGTTCTCTAAAACCTAAAAAAGGAATTATGAATTGGATCAACTGGTCCCTGAATGCAATTGACACCCCTTTCTCAATGAGAAGTTTGGGCTTGGGTGAGCCTGAGTGTTGAAGATATCTACCTATTCGGAACCATGGTAACAGGGTTCTGGCTGATCGGAGCTGGCTTGGCCCTGACTTATCGAAGAATTAAGAAAGCGGAATCGGCTGTTCAAACCCCCACAAGGCTGCCCGCCGGGATTGGAACGATGGGAAGAGGCGTGAGTTTCTCAAAATGGGCTCATTGAGTGCAGCACGGATAAGATCTTGGAAAGGCAACAGCTGCTGTGAATACTCAGAATAAGATCTCTGAGTGCAGACTGGATTACATCTCGGAAGGGCTAGCTCGGAATAACATCTCTGAGCGCAAATTGGATGACATCTCGGGGAGGCACACTGTCGTGAGTTCTCAGAATCGGCTCCTTGAGCACAAGAATGACAACATCACAGAACGCAAGTATGGCGAAGCTCGTGGCTCTCCAACGGGAGATTGAGAGATCAGTGTTGGACTGTAGAACTGCTTTGAAATTCATATGAGCTGTTCGCACTAAAGTAAAAAGCACCATCACCTCATGCGGATACCCTCTCGGCGCCAGCTGCGGTAGCAAGGCTGGAGCCGAACAACAACACCCTGATAACGTCTGTGTTTAGACTGTTCCTTCCCATTCCATGCAAGGCCACCTGGGTTGGCTGGAAGACTGTTTACTTAGCCTGGCAGGGCGAAGGACTGTCTCAGCTGAACTGGACACACACACACTCATCCCCCCTCCCTTTCCAAACGCCTTCAACGCTTATTCCCTTCCGATGCTGACGGTGGATCAAGGAGACCAGCGCACAGGCTGCAGACCCGGATGTACTGTCTAAATCGGCTGTCTCTCACCCTTTGCCCACCCCTGTTGCTTGTCATGTGTTTCTTTGGTGTATTAAGAGTTTTTTCATGTGCTATGTGCAGAGGTGTTTTTTTTCTGTTCTCAAACTGATCTCCCTGTTGGAGCTCAGTCTGGGGGGAGTTATTTTTTTCTCCTTATCTTTCCTCATGTGGTGCATTTTCCATTGTTATACCTCTCTGACCTGTCTTCCCCATGTGATGTTTTGTGTAATGTATGTATGGTCGGAGGGTAAGATGGTGCCGCCATTGCGTGCAATAGGTCGGCAGCCTTATGAAATTTCCCCTTGTGGGACTAATAAAGGTATATCAAATCATATGATGTAAAAATGTGTGTGAATTCATCTGCTGAGATTCCCTCCTCAGGAAAATAAGGAAAGAGACAAATGTCAGATACTTTCGTTTTTGTTTTCTCTTTTTAATCAAACATAACTCAGTAGAGCTCCATTTTCATCTAATGTTAATGTACAGCAAGTACTAATTGTGGGCTAGCAGAAGCTAGGAGGTTAGATAATGAAGGTGATGACTAAGTAACATTTTGTAAATTACAGAGTAGCTCTTAATTCCACAGAGCTAGGTGATCAACTATTTGGCACAGCTGACAGATTTCTTTCAGTTAATTGACCTGTTGAAGTCGTGGTTCAATAAGTTGTCCGTTTGTGAGAAGAGTCAATTTCATCAAGCAGCAGCTCATTAGCTGACTGGCTGGTTAACTGTCTCAGTAACGGAGCCAAACTCCTCCTTGAGCAGTTTGAACACGTTGTCCGAGAACTCGTCTCTCGGCCTGCCCGTGCCGTTCAGCTGCACCGGCAGGAGGTCGGGGTGGTGTGGGATGTAAGAGGACGGGCAGTGCAGCTCATTTAGAGTAAACCAGAAGGTGTCCGGATCCACCTGGATTAAGTGTCGGAACACACTGTGCAGGAAAGAGAAAGAAACATGGGAACAGGATTAGCTCTGAGCTGTGTGTTCACTTTGTACGTAATATCTATTGTATGGAAAACACCTTCCTATAATCCAAAGTGACAGACTGAACGAGTTTTGCTGGCTTTAACATGCAAACCAACAGTTTAACTATAAGCTCATTAACTCAACACTGCTTTTCTCTTCAGCTTTGTTTTTTAAATCACCTCCAAGCAGGAAAATACTTAAGTATATTAAAGCGTGTGTTTTTACTTGTGGCTGCTATGTTGCTACCCAAACACTTAGATCAATAATTCAGAATGATGTGAGTTATTAAAGGTTGCTTGCATACTGCATTCTGAGCTATTTATTTATTTATTTGCTTTTTTTATTCACAACTTCCATCTGTCCTTTACATTACTGTAGGTCTCACAGTGCACACTTTTTGCATCAGATGCCAGTGTAAAGGTGAAACGAGTTCCCTTTCAGATTCGTACACACAGTATTGGGAGATCACGGCCCTACATGTCCTGAAGACACTTCTATTCACACCTGTAAGGCAACTGACCTGTGATGATATGCCACATATAAACTCATCACAGTCATTCTCACTTTTTATCCTCTTTACCTGGCTAGGAACACTTTTGCCAAGTTGGGATTGCTAGCTATTGTAAGTTAGCACTGTTGTGTGCCAACCTGAAGTTAGCTTAGCCGCTCCTATTGGTTTTAGCCACAACTGCAGAACTACATCTGCGTATTTCTGGAACTTCTTTCTCAAGGGACAAAATGAGTGAGGGTGATATTTAAATCAGGCCCACAAACTGATTTACTAAAGTTTGCAGCAAAGGGTTAAAAGTCTTATATTACAGGTAATATACTTTAAAGTCACAAATACTGGTGTCTTTACCCAGAACATGCAGGAACCTGATTATTCCTGAGGTATTCCATTCTCAGGTCCCATGTTCCTCTCCTTCAGGAAACAAAAGCTATAGCCACAGTGCTTTGTTTCATATTCAGTGTTCAAAGACAAGAATGACTCCTGAAGTCCTATTTTGTTGTGTAACACCCAGCACCTCTCCAAATATGATGTTGAGCATTCAATTTAAATTCAGATTTTACTAATAAATCATGTTACGTGGCTGTTAATGACCAACATGGCAATACAATGTCAACTGGATGGTACAGTTTTCATTTATGGCATTCTGTCTGTGTGTAACACTCAAACACATTAGTAACTAAATGAAGGATTTAGTTACTTTCCAAGACTACAGCGGTCCTTAATAAAGACTTACTTTAAACAGGCTTCTTGCAGTCTGATGGGTTGTCTGGAGCTCAGGTAGGGTAGACAGGCTTCACAAACCACATCTAGGTCTGCTTCAGCTGAGAAAACCAAACACAGGACATTTTTACTATATTTTATTCATATAACAATTGTAATACTTTTATATTTTATCCAGAAATTTCAACAGAAATCGACTTGTAAAAGAAAATAAAAAAGAATGAAATGGATCAAAGCCAAGTTAATTTCATTGATTAATCACAGCAGCAGAATACAGTTTGAGCTCGGTGCCTGGTCTTCGGGTGGATCACTCCCTGCAAATATGTTACTCATGAACCTCCAGGAGCACACAGGTGGATGCTGGGGTGGTGGATGGGCTGAAACAGCAGGCAGTGGTGCAGTAGGATGTGAGGTAAGTGGGGCACGTTACATGTGCAGCTCCAGGCTTCACTACATACATGGGTACTGTTGTGGAGTATAAAAAGTAGGCCAAGCCTGGACTTTACCTCTGATAACTAATGAGCTCAGTAAAACTGCTGAGGTGGTTCAGGGAGGATTTCACAGCAGTTTTGAGAGGTCAGAACGTTAAAGCTTACCAACAATAATTCTGCCTGTCCAGGTGAGCATTTATTCTTGAAATTGCCCCCTCCCACTACATACCACGTCTCCCTCACCACTGCTGGTTAATCTCCTTTTTAAAACCATCTTTGTCCCACCCCCTGTGACCTGAAGACCATACTGAAACTGACTTCAAAGAATAATCACAAAGAGCATCTCAAACACACAACGTGTATCGTGCCTGTTTATCTGCACACTACACTGTATGAGAGTTTGCAGTACAAAAAGTGCTGTAAGCTATTTTAAAGGAACAGTTTCACAAACAACCTGATATCTTACAATTGTCTTTACACTGCAGTCCTTGTCACTGTTAGATGTAACGCTGGCTCTGGAAAGGCTGCAGACAGCTCTGTCACCTTTGTGACTCTTTTCCTCTGTCAGCGATGAACCTCAGTGGGAGGGTGTGATATTTGTGATGTTCACTCTGTCGCTCAGTTCACCTCCACACTGCGCAGGTGACCAAAAATCACACAAGCAGCTCATAATTGCATAATTGGGAATGCAATGGCAGAAGCCTGCAGGCCTTGAATATTTTCAACATGCTAATGGAAGTATGTTGAGCACAAAGTAAACAAAAACAACAACTTCTCTGATCTTATCAATTAAACGGCCTCCTTCGCTGTCACCTCATGATTCGCTGATTGAACAATCACGTTTCTCAGTTGGGTATAAGAAGAGCTGCTTGCAGTCGTAGCTGTGTGTGCAGTTTGGACTTGAGCAGCATCCTGCTGGCACAGCTGGCTGTGGTCCGTATCATCAAAGTCATGGTTAACATATGTTGAATGACAGAGCTGCCACAGTGAAGAGGCATTTTTAGGAACAACATCACTGTCATGCGTTTAGGATGTCAAACTGTTTAAGGTTTGTATAATAAAGCAGAGATGCCCTGATTTATGCTGTGATACCAATGGTTGATTTTCATTGTTATACGAGACTGCCACCTGGTGGTGAAGGAGCTTCAATAAATTCTTTGGCTTTTTCTGACGACGCATCTCCCCACACACAGCTTTAATGTCAAATCAGGCTAACAACCTAATTTGTTAACCTCAGTATAGAGACGTCTTCATCTCTGTACTAAAGTACAGACACAAACTTGTATTGCTGTTGTCTCACTCACAGGAAGAAAGCTGACTATAACTCATTCATTTATAAATCATAAAGTTGATTCCTACAAGAAAGTTACAGCCCTGTGATCAAATAGGCTTCAATAAGATAGATAACATGTATTTACCCAAAATAAATATGGGATCAAAACAGCACAGAGAAAAAGTAAAGTATTGAACAGGGGGCATTTAACAGTAGGCCAAAAAAATCCTGGTAGCTCTTTGCTCTCGTTGTGTTCAGTTAAATATTACAGCTGAAAAGAGGTTAGATAAAGATAAGATAAGAGGTCATCTGTCTTCAATGTATTTTTACATAAATGGGCTTCATGTTGCACCAATCTCCATAAAGTGAGGCGTCATACTAATAATAGTTGTCTTGCTCTGATTTGTCCATGTTGTGGCTGCTTTGATCATTGCCAGAGCCCAGGTACAGTTCTACAGGATGATGCACTATGTTGTGTCTTGGTGAAACTGTGCTGTTTGTGAGCACTGTGTCTCTATTCTCTTACCCAGATCCAGTCTCTGGCACAGTGAGCCCAGCCCCTGCAATACAGCCAGCTGCAGTTTGTAGGCCAGGGTGTGTGTGTAGACAGGCCCAGCCTTGGCGCTGATCGGAGCCTGCCGTGCCAGAGAGGCGCTCAGCTTGGGCAGAACCTCTTTAGAAACCCTCCTCCTCAGAAAGTCCCCACATGTTTCACCCAGCACGCACAGCACCTGGAATGAAATGTACAAAAATGTAATGTACAAAAGCAGCAAGCTGTCAAAATTCAATAAAACCTTCCCGTTGTATCCTCCTGGATGAATTATAGCATTTACAAAACTCGTATATATCCCAAAGCTGATGAAACAATTTCCCAGCAGCAGCTCTGAGTGAATAAATGACTGTTTACAGACTTAACGTGTTTGAATTTGTCAGTTCATCAATGAAAACATGAATAACAAATTCAAAAATAGTCCAGCTGATGACAGGAGCTGACGAGTAGCCCAATTTACACCGACAAGCAGCCTCTAAGAAGGCATCCACACTGTGATTTTTCTGTGCCGATAGAAGAAATGTTAATTTAAAGAGTCTTCACATTACAACCCAAAAAAGTAAATAATAGAACTATTTCTGAATGAAATAAGCCTGTTGTTGGGCAGCATCTTTCATTCTTTCACTACTAAGAGTTTAAAACTAAAGACGACTTGAATAATTTTGACTCACATAATGAAAAGAGAGGTTTGTTTTACTTACCCTGAAGGCTCTGAGGACTGCTAATGGGTCATCAGTTGTGAGTCTCTGCAGGAGTGCTGGCCAGCAGCGACGAGCCATAGGCAGCAGTTCATTTTCCCTCTCACTCAGCACCTGAACGCACAACTCCAGCACGTCTAGTACCTAAAGACAAAGACGCACAACACACCTAACAATTATCTCTGTTTTGATCCTGATTATATGTGAGCTGAAACTAATTACTGAGGTCTTCATTGAGAGCCCAAACTCCTGAGCAGGCACGACTTCAGCGCAGACTTATTTCTGTTTCACTCCTGGACCAGACTGAATGTTTTTCCTTGATGAGCATTACACCACTGAACAGTCATCCACACAGTTCTAACAGGATGAATTGTACCAACGCTGGCGGTCCTACCTTCACAAGAATGATTATTTTTGTTATTAGTCCAACAGTTGACTCTACGTAAAACTACTGATACAGTACCTTGAGTCGGAGCCTGAGGCTGGGATCAGACAGCAGATGAATGCAGCGCTCCATAACATCCTTAGTGATGCTGAGGTGGGAGGGAAGCTCTGCTTTCACATCAGGACTACCAGTATCTTCAACATCCTCACACTCAGTGGGAGGGACTTCTGCAATGGAGCACATGTACAGTTAGACTGCCAGTTTAGCAGTGAGGTTCAGATTTCTATGACTCTTAATTACAATGATCCATCTCCTCTACACTCTGAATCTAAAATAATCACCACTACAACCTATAGCTTATATTCCACTGGCCCTTAGACAGACCTATTACCTTGGTCTTCAGTGTCATCATCCTCTATTCCAATGCCCTCTGCCAGTTCTTTCTGTTTGCAGTAATTCAGCAGGAATTGGCGAATGCTGAGGTCTTCCTGGTCACTGGAACGTTGCCTGTAGCTGGTAGACTTACTGGTCCTGCTACAAGTGGAAGGAAACCACCTCGCTAAAGGAAAAACAAGACAACAATATGAACATAGGTTTGGTTACAATAAAATAAGTCAGCTGATTAAATCAGTGTGACAGAGACACTGATGTTTTTTGGAAAGAGCCATTAGTGACATTTAATTTACACATTTTTATTGTGAGGGCTTGTAAAACTGCAAACACCTATAGTGCCGCTGTATAAATATCATTATGAATATGTAGCAGAAAACGACTGAGCATTTAAACCATCACGATGTATTAAATGTTTCCAAAGATACTGATAATTTGATAACGAGCAAATTATACATCCTGAAGTGTACTCCTTGACAGAAAGTTTTAAAGACACTGCATTTTCTTCCTTGTCCTCTTTGACTCCCAGCATATGTGAGACTCAAGCTCACATCACTGTTGAAATCTTACCCAGTGCCTTCATGAGCGCGTGCAGCACGGAGCAGAAAAGAGCAGCTGTGCGCTCGTAGCTAAGATCCAGAGCCGTCAGCACATCCTGAACGATGTCCCCGACCAGCGGCAGCAGGCTGCAGTCAGAGTGAGTCAACATAACTGTCAACACCCGTGGAGCCTGGCCAACAAGACAGGATTATAATGAAATACAGTACAAGCTCAGGGCAGCACAAAGCAGACAAAGGAGGAAATCAGGTAAACCCTCCAGCAGTCATTTCTGTGTCCATTTTGGGTTAAAAACACAACTACCTGTGGATGCTGGCTGATTCTCTGAAGGTTGAGTGAAATGTCATTAAGCAGGTAGTCAGAGTTCTCATTGATCAGTTCCTTGAGGGAAGCGTATCCACAGGCCTTACTGATGTCCCACATGGAGCTCAGTCCCGCCTGGCTGACCAGCAGCGTCTCCTCACCAGCTTTCTCCAGCACAGGATACAGCGAGGTCATCAACAAGGGACGGAAATCGTGGCCCAGCGCCTGAGCACAGCAGGTGATGCCCTCGAGTTGGATGCACAGCTGCCAGATGTTGCTGTTGAGCTGGTGGATCGTGGATGTTGATGATGAAGGAATCACTTAGAGAGAGCTTGCATTTGAGTTGCCGGCATCACTGTTGGATATGGAGAGGAGTCTGGATGGACTGAGCAGCTACGCAAGGAGACAAAACACATGTTAATGCACTGCTTTCTAACCACTTTTGCACATGGACTGCAGACCTGAGGTTTTCTAGATATTATCCATGCGCGTGAGAACGCAAATGTCTGACACAGTTAGATCAGACATTAAACAGCTTTTAGCCTTCCTGCAAAAACAAAAACCACACAGGCTGTTATAAAATGCTCATCCTACGCACTCATATGTAAAGTGTTAAAATCAATGTGTGGCCCACCTGACACTAAGAGACAATCTTGAATAAAAGAGCAGTAAACTTAATAATAATAATGATAATTATTATCATTACAATGACTGAATGCAGCACTCTCCTCCAGGCTTAAAACGTGTTTGTGGGACCACCAACAGCCTTTGATTAGATGATCTCAGGCTGCAAGAGGGAGCGTGGGGTTCAAAAATATCAGACATGTAGGCAGGAGCGTCACGACTCACAGCGTTAAAAGTCAGTGAAATGAAATCAATTCTAAAACATAATGGAAGCCAGAGTAAAGAGAACAAAACCAGTCTAATGTGTTCTCTTTTTCTATTTAGGTCAGAGTAATGAGTAAAATCATAAGCTAATAATTTCCTAGTACCAGTTTTAATTCAAATTTTATATAAATACATCAATTAATAGATAATAAATAAATATAAGCTAATACTGTAAGTATATAGCTTTGAGCTCTAATAGAAGTATTACAGCCCAGCTGCAGTACCTCTGTAGCCCACAAGGGGGCACCAGCCCACACTTTGGGAATCACTGTTGTTTATAAATGTCCTGTGAATTTTCAGCTATAGAGGAAGTGGCATGTATGATCTCTCCAATCGAACTATCGACATCTTTTACTGAGCCCGTCTATGCAGGCAGCTTGTTCGTCTCAAACAGAGTCATTCTGTTTCTTTGTATAAAATTTTTTTTATAAGGATGAAAAAGCATTCAACATCTTACCATGTGTTTTAGTAAGAAAACTAGGTTCATACTGCACTCCATTTATGACCCAGTTTGACTTGAGTGCAGAAACAGAAAGCGCCTCTATAGGAGTCAAAAATTCCTCCTGACAAACGTGTATCTGTGTTCTTCGATTCTTTTATTTGGCAATGCCGGCAGGATGTTTGTACTTTTTAGCTGACAGAGTGAAACTGCAAGTTTATCTACTAACTAACAGAAAGCTGCCAGAGGTTTATGGCCTCTGTTCGGTGGAGTTTTGCAGATATTTTCTCGTGCTCCAAAAATCCAGCCTTGATACTTCAGAGTAGCTACTTCAAATCTCGCAGCAGCTTTGACTTCTGCTCAGTCTGCTGAGAAATCAGTGTGAAAAGAGGCGTGGATACGTGAGCTGGTAAAGCCCAGAGCCCACGTGATTTTAAAAAAGTTTGTGCAGAAGTAAATGAAGAGTCCTTGACACTCCCAGACGTGTGAAGCCAGACCATCACAACGACATCATTTCACTTCTTTGTGTCTTTGGAGTTGTAAAGTGTTTTTGTGCATGTAGAACAGCAAAACATGGTAACAGGCTGCTGCAACCAGAACTGGCCAAGTATATATCCGCTGATCCGAATATCCGCTGATCGCTCCTCACTCTGTACAATAAAGCCCTTGCAACACCCAAAAATGTGCCCTCTATTCCTTGCCTATGTTTGCATTATTTCTAAAAAGATATGAGGAGTGTTGTTTATGTTTTCAGTCTTCAGTTAAATTAGTCTAAACCAGGTTTTACTGCTTAGATTTATTTTGTAGCATCTATGTACAAACAGCTCTGCTGTTTAGACTGGATGTGCATTTTGCACATTTCTTTGTAATCATCTCTACAGGAGATGAGTCAGTATACTACTTGTCAGGAACTCCACTTAGAGGCAAGATGAAGTTAACAAATGATATATTATGTGTGGAAATGCTTGATGAATGATGCCCCAGGACTGAAATATCCTCACCTGCTGATCCTGTTGGTCTCTATCCATCTCCTTGCTGACTGTAATCAAATGCCAGTTGTTCAGGCTGGTGTATTCCTCAATGATAGAAACAGCTGCTGCTTTAATATCTTCCTGGGTGGCAGGGCTTTCACGAACTTTGGTCTCCAAACCCTGACTCTGGTCTGCCACAGCGATACCTGCTGCACCTCTAACTGTCTCATTTAACACCATGGCAGCCTGCTTTCTGTACACTGAAGACTGGCAGTACAAGTCCAGCAGATGATCGGTCAGCAGGTAGATGTTGCCATAATAACCTAAAGACAAAAAAACGTTATCTGTGAGAGCTAAAGAAATGAGCCAGCTACAACCCACGAGTATTTATACCAGCTGTCGTTGTTTTTAGAAGATAACTGCTTTAAATTCATTTGAAATTACAATGGAAAAGGCACAATGATGATAAAAAACAGGAGTGGCTAACTGAGTCCAAGTCAAAGAGCAATTATACCTAATGTGCGACAGATCTCCATGAGCACAGAGAAGATTTTCTCATCTGTGAAGTAGAGAAAATGCTTCCTCTGTGTGTGAGTGGTGTAGGAATCATGGGAGCCGGTGCTCGTCTCCACGGCAGCAGCGTAACTCCTCTCCTCCACAATGCGAACATCCATCACATCGAGTTCCAGCACCTGTAAAGCACGCAGAAGCTTTAGGAAATTTAACGGGGTTAGGAAATCTAAAAACATTCAAGATTGGACCTTAAAGCAGCCGCACTACAGACTACAAAATACTAATGCCAAGGTGCCCTGTATTTCTACACAAAATAAGACATATCATTTTGGTTTTGTACATGAACATTGACAAGTCAAATACTATATTTTGGGCTGCAGTCCTGAAGAGACTACATTTAAAAATATTATTTTTTGCATTAATAACCAGGTCACCAACAACGATGAGTCTGAATACAGAAAGGAGGTACAACACCTGGTGGACTGGTGTCAGAGTAACAACCTGTCTCTGAATGTTCAGAAGACTAAAGAGATGGTTGTTAACTTCAGGAAGAGCTCAACGACCCACACCCCACTGAAAATCAACGGATCTGCTGTTGAGATGGTCAACAGTGTTCAGGTTCCTGGGAGTGCACATATGATGACCTCTCTTGGAACCTGAACACCAAACTGAAGAAGGCCAGTCTCCCTCCTCCCATCCTCACATCATTCTACCAGGGAACCACTGAAAGTGTCGTCTGCTGCTACATCGCTATCTGGTATGGGAACTGAACTTTTGCTGAAAAGACGTCTCTGCAGCAGATAGTGAGGACAGCAGAGACGATCATTGGAGGCCCTCTCCCACCCATCTACCAACTCTACAACACACACATCATCCGACGTGCAAACAGCATGGTGAAGGACACGTTCCACCCCTCATATACTCTATTCTCCCTGATTCCATCTGGCAGACAGTTTCGCTGCATCAAAACCGTAACCACCAGACACTGCAAGAGCTTTTTCCCCAAGCAGTCAGAGTCCTCAACTCAATACAACCAAAGAACTGACATACACAAACACCTTACAATACTCACCAAAAGACTCAAAAACAACAAAAACTTCCACAAATCCACTACAAAGTAGACCTTATTTGCACACTCATTCACATAGTTACTGAACACATCTAAATTACACTATATTTGCACATGTCTTCGTTCTTATATTGAATTGAAATTGAAATTGTATTAAAGAGTCAAGAATAATCCTTATTATTATTGTTATTAAATAAATGGTTGTATAACAAAACTTTTTATCACTTAAAAATAGGAAAAAAAATAGCTGTTCTTCGTGGTAGAGTGTTGAGGATCATTCAGTAAACTGACAGCCTGAAGAAGTAGAGAAAATGAGGAAAGAAGGAAACTGTTAATGTTTTATATTTCTGTATTGCTTGCCAGATGGCAGCATGGTGAACAGACTGGCTGAGATGGGAATTGCCTTTTAGTGTCCTCTGGGCTGTGCAGACACCTCCCTGATATCATTGCTCTTTGGTAGATGGGAAAAAATGTAAAAGAAAAACTCACTGTGAGTAGCTACAACAGCACATTTGTTAGAATTTGACGAATGAAATGTTTAAATATTAAAGAGTATTAAGGGAGATGGGATCAAATAAGTGTAAACTTCTTTCTACTCTTTTTCGACTATATAAATTGCATGGATTATTTAGATATAGAGATATCTGTGGCAACTCGATTTCTCTCACTTTACTTTTTTATGTCTACTATGCTCATTTACAGATCGTCAGACACACATGTCTGAGCTGTCCGACACACACAGATCACATTACATGTGCATGTGGGGTTTGAAGTACTTTTATGTATAGATGAGATAACACCTTATCACATCATCATCAAAAGTGAGCATATATATCCACAAATGAACACTACTCTGGTTTTTATAGAAACATTTGCAAAAAAGCTTATGTGTGTTCATTGTTTTTGTGTGTGTGTTGGTGCATGCTCAACAAGACACACAAATTGCTGTACAGATCTCTAAATCTATATATATATATATGATAAAAGTGTACTTTTTATTTAAATCCATGGCTGTTGTTGCATAATAACATCAAAAGCAGTGTAACCTTATTGTTACATTACCTGCATTAAGGCTTTGGAAATCCTCTCCAGATGTGCAGCCGAGTTCAGCACCACAGAGACAAGCGGTCCTAAGATTTTTAAGTAGCCCAAAAACACGTTGAGAACAAAGAGCTTCTTCTGGTCATCAGAGGTCCTCATCAGTCTGGGTAGGGAGGTGGCCAAAGAATGGAGATTCTCAGATAAGATGTCAGTGAAGGTCTGAGTGCCACTGCTGCCGCTGCACCTCTGATTTCTCTGGGATACCTCTCTGAGAGCAACTTCACACCTAGAGGAGAAAATAGCAGTATCAGTAAACATCTTGTATCCATTAATTACGATTCATTTCTTCCTTTTCTTTATAAAAATATCAATCAAATCAAACCTCTCTCTGACTCTAGGTTCCACATCATTGATTGCCCCCACCAGTGCTTCTAGTAGTGATCCTACACAATCAGTCAGTGAGTGACTGCATTTGGCCAGCAGGTGATCGGCCAACTCCACCATTGCCACTCTAACCCTCCAGTGCTGGTGCGCTGAAGTGCATGAGATTATCTTCTTGAGCAGGACAGACAGCTTCCCTGCTGTGTTCTTCACCCACTCCGGTGTCCGAAGGACTATGAGCTGTCCGATCCTCCCCAGGTCTGCAGAGGGAGTCTTATAGGACTCAGTGGACTGGAGCTGGACATCCTCCATGACAAGCTCCACAGTCCTGGACCAAACCTGACAACAGGTGATCACATAATCAGATCACTGCAGTGCATTTGTATTATGATATTGTCAAATTTTCCTTTAGTTCTGGAAAAACTATACAAGCCCTCTTTATGCTCTGTAAATGAAAGGTTTAGGTCAACTGAATTATTCAACAAATCAAACAATCACATAATAAATTTTTTAATATACGGTTTATTAAATGTTCAAGTCAGTTAACAAGGTAAATGTTCACTTGCGAACTATGAAATTGCATGAGATCATCGATTACATATGATGACTATCGTCTAATAAAGTGTTAAGCCATTATTGTGCTGTTGTTGTAAATCTGATTAACAAACATGTGGTACCTTGATGGCCCGGACTGTGACTGCATGGCCTTGCCTCAAATCTCCTGTAATGATCCTGGCCGTAGCCATGGTGATTCCAGGTAAAAATGATGCCATGGCGCTTCCTACAAAGCATCGCTCCTCTGATGATGGGACTACGTGTTCCTGGGTGCAGTCACACTGCAGAGTCAAAGCCTGGAGGCACGTCAAGGCTGCTGTCTGTATATCTCGAGATTTCTCCTTCTCTCCCAAAGCCAGCAGCAGTGAAACGGCAGCACCCAGCCCAGGCAGCATAATCGGTTCAAAGAGTTTGAACACTATATCACCATAAGCAGCATGAAGCAGGGCATCCAGGCACCTCAGAACAGCTGATTTTAGCTCCTCTGACGTATCTGCAGGCTTCCCGGGATCAGCTGAAGAGGACAGGCACAGGCAAAGCTCGGAAAAGAGGTTGTGGAGGGTTTCCCAGCTGTGGATGCAAGTGTTCTCCAAAACATAGCTTACTGCCTCGGTCACAGACTGCACCAGCTGCTCCTTCTTAGCCCCGGGGACTTTAAGGACAAATCGAAGAGGGAAGAGGACGTACTCCTGAAGCTGCTGCAACGTGGCATCGTTGACTTCTTTTAACTGGCCTTTGAGTGTTTCCACATTAACCACTGTGGGCTCTCGGGTGAGCAGGACACAGGCTGGGCGCAAGTAGGCAAAAGCAATCTTTGGATCGCTTATTTGAGACATGGCTGGAGGCATCACTGCAGGGGCGCTTAGGTGACGGAGAATGGCTAGAAATGCAGAACACGAGAGTAAGTGCTGTAAGCAGCCGGGAAGCTGTCTGTGCTGCTCAAGAAGATATAAGTTTATTGATTTATTTTGCTACTTTGTCTTTGTGATTGAATATGATTTGGTCAGCTGGTAACTTTGAAGGCCTATATTTACAGGTTAATTACATAAAAACCTACTTCTACAGTATGATCACAGGTACAGCCTTTGTATATAAATGGCATTACAATGCTTTACATCTTACTGTCAATAAAAGAATCCATCCGAATTTGCATGCACCAGCTTCACTGATAGTTATGATGTTTTGTGTTGCCAAACACTAGCGTTGGTCCCTCGTATCCGTTAGTACAACTATAACACTTTTGGAAGACTTGTTTGCTTCATGTAGATCTTAGGATACGGAATACAAACTTAACAAGAGCATGTCTAAGAAGACGAGTCTACCATGTAGCTGAACTACAGCATGCTGACAGCATCCAGCTTCTAAAGCACCACTGCGGTACCAGCGTCAGTATCAACACGGCCTACCTTCACATTGTTAGGTTTAAGTGGAGCCCCCCTTCCGTGAAAGCGACTGGAAATGCTTGCTTTTACAATGAAAAATTAGATTTTTACAAACAGATGAAGCTGTGCCGATAACCAGCATCACGAGTCTGCGCCAACGACGCACATGTTTAACGTAAACTAAGGCTTCCGACTTTGGGTCTTTGCCTTCAAAATAAAACAGAATTTTCTTCCTATGATAGAAACCCTATAAAATGTGTAATAAAAACATCGGGGAATTTATAGAATTTTTTATGAGAAAGACGTTTGCTACAGAGAAATCCCCATTTTTAAGCTTGTTCTGACAATTTTTAGCTCTCGAAACGGTTTGACGCTTAACGATGTTAGCTTTATTTTGAAAGTAGAGTATTCCCAAAGGAAGTCCATTCATTTAAGCGAGCTTGACTACTGATCGGACGTCAGACTCATACATATAGGCATGTTTGCCGGTGCTGCACAATCCTAGTATCTGTATTTAGTTATTTGAACTAAACATATTTTGAATAAAGAAGATTTTGTTGGGGCTGTCATTTTCCGTCGCCGTGGTGGATATGAGACAGCTACCCTAATTACAAAGGTAATACAAGTGTTGTAAAAGTTAGCTTAAAGACGGCTAACAGCTAAAACAGTCTGTGATGATGTTACAGACATGATTATTTTGCTACGTTAAATCCTTGACAAATGTTATGGTACCTCGTAACACACCAAAACACACAGTCGATGCTCTTATTACAATGAAATCACATCTTTTAGATGTGGTTCTGTTGTCTACCTCAGATTTACCAACATTCACGAAGCTATGCTTCCTCTTTGTCCTGTTGTCACTCAAATATCTGGAAATTTCTTCTCTTGCTATAAATAAGTGGCCCATAAAGTGTGACTTTCGAAATGATCTTTCTTCTTATATCTAGATTCCCCTTTTATCTTTTGCATCTTGTTTTTTTTCCGCAAGGGGATAAGCTGCCGGTTCCTGCCCTGGCTCGTACCTAGGGTCAGCATGGATGAAGAATCCCTTGAGGCAGCCATCGCTGCCTATAGTGCCCAGTTGCAGCAGGTGGAGACAGCCCTGTCTGCCGGCCTGGACCCCACCCAGCACTCAGACCTGCTCAAACTGAAAGAAGATCTCCGTCAGCTGATAGAGCTCACTGAGGCCAGCCTGGTGTCTGTCAGAAAAAGTCAGCTGCTTGCAAGCCTCGAGGAAAGTAGCGGACTGCAAGTGAATGCATCAGAAGCAGCTACTGATGCAAACGGTGGACTTGATGCTGAGTTTGCTGCTTTCTACTCTGAACTTGGGGAGTCTTCGGGTAATAGCTCAGATTCCAAAGAGAGAACTAAGGATGGGGGAGGGGGGGAGGTGGATTATGAAGAGGAAGAAGAAGAGGACAAGGAAGAAGAAGATGCACTAAGTGGTACCAAAGTAAGAGCGCCCTATCGGACAACATGGGGAACATTGGAGTATCACAATGCCATGGTAGTGGGGGCAGAACCGCCAGATGGAGATGAGGCACAAGTGCGAGTGCTCTACATCTACCCCACCCAGAAGTCTATGAAACCCTGCCCGTTCTACTTGGAGGATAAATGTCGCTTTCAGGATAACTGCAGGTAAATTATCACTTTCACTGAGGTGACCATAAATTACTGACAGCGTGATTTAAATTCGGGGCTTCTGTCAGTTCAGTCCCTTACAAGATTATTGTATCATCTACTTGGATCTCAGATCTGTACACACAGAGAGTTATATTTGGTGTTTTTTCACTATCAAAGGTTTTCTCACGGTGAGGTGGTCTATGTGTCGGAGCTCAGAGAGTTCCTAGACTCTGATCTAAGTAATCTGGAAGAAGGTTCATCTTGCTTGGCTCGTCATGAGGACGGTATCTGGCACCCAGGCAAAATAAAAGGTATTCTGTTCACAGAGTGGTCGTAATGTAAACACAAAAAAAGTATGAAGAGGTATAAAGAAATAACTCAAAGCCTTCCTCTCACTTTAGAAATTGACAGCGGTTTCTACACTGTGAAGTTCGACTCGCTGCTGCTGAAAGATGCCGTGGTCGAGGCCGACGGCGTTATCCCACCTTTAAGGGAAGATGACCCGCTGTCATCAGAGTCCGACTTGGATGACATCGGTGATGGAGATGATGCTATGGGATATGCAAAAGGTGTGTTTACATTTTGTAAGAAAAAACAAATCAGCCACAACATCAGAAAATATAATCTTTAAGTCTGCCTGCCAATAAAAAAGGCAATGGGGTTCAGAGGCACTCACTTAAAAAAAGAAAAAAAAGAAAATGAAGAGGCTGCATGGTGTCGTGATTTCTCTTGGCAAGTGAACGATCACCTGCTCGATTCACCTTTGGGGTTTTGTCAGTAAAACTCCTGACAAACAAACAGCTGAAAGTAGCTTATGTTAAAAAAAGTTTCATGTCAGGACATCATAGAGAACGATGTTAGTAAAAATGTATCTGTCATAGCTACACATTGGGCCAGTTATTAATATGAAGAAGGGTTTTCTTGACTTGAAAAAAGAACTGACTGTGTCTTTTACTTGTTGTGCAACAGTTATAGACTTTGCTGTGGAACCCACTGAAACATCAAGCAGTGCTAATTTTGGTGGCTGGGAGGCGCATACCAGAGGCATTGGATCCAAGCTCATGCTCAAAATGGGCTACGAATATGGAAAAGGTGAGTGCAAACAGTGCACAACACAGCGCTGAGGCTCAGAAGTCACAATGTCCACCCCTGGCATGCTGTTTAAAAATCAGCTAACCTAACTCTTTGCAGTCATTTTGTTTTATTTTTAATTCTTGAGTTTTAAAAATAGGACAAAACATACATTTAAGACACTTTTAGAAACAAGAAAAAGTAGCACCAAGATTAGGAGAGGTTGTGATGGTGTGTGGTTAGTGTAAGACAGTGGTGTTTGGGTGAAGCAGTTATTTTCTTTAACAAGACGCGAGAGGGCAGTAAGGTGCACTTTAAAATCATATACAATGCATCACAGCTCAAAAGTGTGTCATCTAACAATAGACACACAAATGTCTATGCTTAAATTTGTGCTTTGTCCAGTTTTATTTTCACTTTGCTCTGTACATGATTGTATGTTTGCCACGTAAACGAAACAAGTTTTCATATTAACTTAAAGTGGTTTGTGGTATATTCAACCCAAACAAATGTCTATCCAAAATAAAATCAAGTCAAGTCAGATGTTTTTGTATAGCACATTTAAAAGACATAGATCGGTCTTCAAGTTTGAGTTGAAGATTTCCAATCAGACCTACTTTGTTTTTTGGTTTGTGTGGGAGGGGTGGGTTGTTTATTAGGAAAAAGCTTAGATATTACAAACAGCCTCTTCCATGATTTTCTTCCTACTTTTGTCATACAAAAGAGGGAGAGCAAGTACCAAAAATAGAGATAACTAATTAAATAACATTGATTAATTATTATTAAAGGAATGAAAGACAAAAAACAAAAAATGTTCCCAGTATCTTTTGGTTCTTCCAGTCTAATATTCAGTTGTTGAAAGGAGGAGAAATAACCTATATAAAATTATAAATAATTTAATTATAATATTTATAATGGTAGTGTGTGTGTGTGTAGCACATCTATCTATCTATCTATCTATCTATCTATCTATCTATCTATCTATCTATCTATCTATCTATCTATCTATCTATCTATCTATCTATCTATCTATCTATCTATCTATCTATCTATCTATCTATCTATCTATCTTCTGGTTTTCACTGTCACACTCTATCATTTTTTGTGTGTAGGTCTGAGATTGAGAATTACAGTCAAACTACTAAACTAACATTAAGTTAGATACTGGCGAACTGGTGTCTTAGTTAACATATTTAGAATGAATACAAATGCATTTTCACTGCACAGTGAATCCTAATAAAAGTCTATGTATGCAGATGTAAGAAGCACATTACACTGTGTTCTTCTTCACTCACTGTCTTTTATGTTTTCAGGCTTGGGAAAGCTCCAGGAGGGCAGAGTGGAGCCAGTAATGGCGGTGGTACTACCCAAAGGAAAGTCTCTGGATCAGTGTTCTGAGTTCACCCAGAGACGCACCCAGAGCAAGGCTGCAAAGGACGGCGCACAAACCGGCCGCCCAAAGCGGCGCAGAAAGCCTCGGGTCGCTACCAGAGGGGGCCAGACCGTTTTTGACTTTCTCAACCACAAGCTTGGAGGCAAGACCGCTCATCCTCCCGAGGGGGGTGCTGTTGCGCCATCAGCGGCAACCGGGGTGGAGGCTTACCGGGGAGGAAAAAGCACCAAGAGGAGTCTGAACGTGAGGCTGTTCCAGGCTGCCGAGAGGGTGTCCCAGACCGAGAGGGAGATCCAGAAGCTGAGCGAGTCACTCAGCAGACAGGAAGGCAGGTCAGTACTGGGGTCAGTGCACAGTCTTCATTAGCTGTACTGCAACCTTAGCCAATTGTTTCCCCACAGAGCCTCAGCAGCTGCTGTCACATTAGAAACCATTGCATATATCGCTCTGCTTACACAATACAACAGTCTATTGTGAGATATGAAGCATGTGGAACTTGAGTTGCTATAATGTTCCTGACAGTTAAAGTGGTAATTAATGTGAGTTTACAAAGAAGGACTGTGGGAGTTGCGCGAAAATGTAAATAAGGTGTGAAGTTGCGAGGTTAGACACATGGTTCTGTGGCCAACGCAGCTAAATTCAGTTTGACTCATCATCTCGTCTCAATTCCTAATCTGTCTGGGTTTTTATTTATTTATTTTTATGTGTGCAAAGGGACCCATCCATAGTGAAGCAGTTGGAGGAGAAACTGTCAGCGGCCCGCCGGCTGTTGGTCCAGCAGAAAGCCCAGGAGCTGTCCATCCAGAGAGAGCACAAGAAGGCCGACACACACAAGAAGATGACTGAGTTCTGAGCTCAGCTGTCTCTCAAAGACATGGAGGATAAAGGAAAGCACCGCGAGCCTGAAATGAACTTTTGCTCCCGCCCTTATGTCAGGGTTTTTTTTTTTTTTTGCTACACTGTATTTGAAGACTTGTTTTTTTCCAGTCGTTTCTCACTGCCGTCTCTTGATGCAGAGTGAATCCGCTGCTCTTCATTTATTTTTAAGCGCTGGCGCATTATCCGCTCAGCATTGATGTTTTTTTGATTTCCAGCTGCACAGGTCTCAATAATGTTCAAAAATATTTTTCATTTTTAATGAACTTTTGTTTTCCTAGCTGTATTTTTCTTCACCCAAACTGAAAAAAGAAAAATATATAGCTTGTTTGGAGAACCTATTGTGTGCCTTCCTTTGTTCTTAACCGCGCACACCTGAGCTCCACTTTAAACTGAATGGACTGTGCTTCCATTGTTAGGCTTCTTTGGCAGAGGTTTCGATCGCTCTGGCCGAGCACCGCTCCAGTGGTTGGTGCCGTATACTTGAACTTTCATACTTTTAAAATTACATCCTCAGGAGTTGGAAGACCTTTGCAGAGTTTTGAAGTTACGCCCACGCCTCTTACGGCTCGTACACACCATCTTTGAAGTTGCAACCGTAACCTTTCTGTTAAATAATGAATTTGGAGAGCAGCCTGCCTGCTCATAAAGTCTGACACACATTGTCTGTGGGGTTGGGTGGTGGCTACGTGAAGTAAAAGGTTGCAGTCGTGGTGCTGGGCAACCGTAGATCAGGCCTTCGTCCTTTTATAAGCGACTTCAAAACTGATGTGGCGAGGCATAATAACGCTATTACTTCAATTTATAAACACCTGCATTTAACATCTCAAATGAGTCCAGTGAGGTTTAGTGTGAGTCGGAGACCATGACAGACAACTAGAGGAACTGGTGAGCAATCATATCGTCCCTGAAGGAAGACAGATTGTACAATCATGCTAAAGCAGTAACAGCTGCAGTGAGATACAGTGTAAGCCTGTGCACGGGGGTCTACTGGAGAAGGCGGGAAAGCCACAGAGGCAGAACTCCTAAACCTTCTTCTCTCCGTACCCTGAGGGAAGCCCCCGCTTGCACCTCGGTCTGCTGAGTGACAGCACTTTGACTGCTGAATACTGCAGGGGTGACGCTGAATTCGCTGATCATGGGCTAAATGCACTATGTGTGTTGATTTAATAGGATCCCTTGAGGGTCTGTGCTTCACGCTTTACCCCATTTATGAGGGTCCAGTCAGTGCCCAGCTAGAGGCAGATTCACTGCGTGTCCTACTGTGGTCGTGCTGTCTGCATGGTTGGGTGTATGAGTGCACCACACACTCCCACAGACACTCGTGCCATAAGAATTTGCTGGGGCAGTTTTTAACTGCGCTTCTCGGTGCCTCACAATTATGTGAGGTGAAATTACTTCTATTACTGTATGTTACTTGTGTTCATATTATATAGGTAACACATTACTCTGTTAATTTTTACTTGCTTTTAACTTTTTAAAAGAGTGTTACTCTGAACATGTAGATCAGCTGAGCTTTCTAATGTTTTTGTTTAATACTCCTGAGAAAAGTGTGTGTTTTTATGCCCTATTCATTAGGTTTCACAATCACTGTCACAAATATTGTAAATATTTTCTTATGTACAGTCATATACAGGGTAGGAAATAAAGACATGGTGCAGGTGGATGTCATTCTAGCACAGACAGGTTTATTGGCACACATCTTACAGATAAAAAAAAAACAGCCTAACGTTATAAAGGCATAAGGTTATTATCAGATATCTGGTTCAGTCTCTTACAGTGAACCTCACGCATGAATACAAATGTCTCACTTTCTTTGTGATGAATATTGCTGAAAACTGTGAACTGATTCAGTTATCTAGCAAACTATTTCGTGTCTGAACTCACAGAATAGATTATTAAAGTCATGCTAACTGTCTCAGTATTCCAGTTTTTACACTTAGTGGTGTTCCTGAGCTAATAGGCTTTGAAAAGGTGCAAGTAAAATCCTGCCAAGGGCTAGAGACCCCTGCACCTGCTCTGGCTGATCTTAAAGCCCCAGAGCTGGCCTCCAACCTGTAATCTCACCTCCAGCTGAACCTCCAGCTTGAGGCTGATTTATTTCATTAACACGGAGGAAATGAAATAGGACTTCCAGTATTAAGTAAACAGTCAAAACTGCTTTGATATAAAAGCCAAAGTCTGACCGCAGTGTTTATGGTAATCTGTCTGACTTTATCTTTGTAAGTTTTACGTCTAAACATGACCATGAAACCTGCATTGTATTCATTCAGGTTACTTTAAAGGTAGAGCTCTTCCTGCTCGGGTTTACAGTCATTATAGAAATGCTTTAATGGCTGAGTTTGCCAGTGATGTTCTGACTGCTTCCCTAACAGGCGCAGGCTGTTCTTTGGCCAGTTGGCATTGAATCTTGGATGCAGATGCTATTCCCTTGTGAAGATTTTGGCTCAATATACTAGTTTTTGAATCGTGAGTTTTACTTGAGATGAAAGTGACTTTGTGAAAATCTCTCTAGGATGCTTTTAATGCTCCCAGAGAAGCACGAGTGACTCCCAAAGCACTTAATGCATACTGTTTAAATACAAAATATTCTCATCTGACACAAATACACTGTAATCATGAAAACATGACTCTTCACATATGCAGCACTCTGTTCTATACATTGAAGGCCTTGCTATCTACCTTGTATGCACACTTATTACCAATTAACAGTTAACAAGTTTTCTTTTTACAATTTTGCATGATGCATGAAATTGACATGTTTTTCCATCAGTTTACACTTAATAACACATCAATGACTCACTCGAAGGTATTTTGAATATTGTCTCAGAACTGAGTCTTCTTGCTAAATCAATTTTAGCTTTGGATGGGATGTGGGGACTCTGTCCCATTCTCCTGAAACATCCATTTAAACTCTGTCAGTCTGGATGGGAGCCATCCTTGAGCTGCCATCTGCAGGTGGCATACTGACGTTAAGTCTGGTCTTTGGTTGGGCCACTCAAGTGGCAGCATTGTGCTGAAACCACACTTGGACTTCATTTCAGTGTCATGTTGAAAGGTGAACTTTCATCCCAGTTTCAGGTTGCTGGACTCTGGAGACTCTGTTCTTCTAGGACTGTTCTGGATTTTAATGCATTCACACCACCTTCAGTCCTGACCCGTCTCTTTGTCCCTGTCACTGAGAAGCACCTTTGTGTTCACTACAGGGATAGTATTTCACTGTGGGGCTGAATGAGGTGATTGAAGGAGCCTGCTGTTTACCAGACATAAAACTTCTGGAGTTCTGCTCAGAGAGTTCAATTTTGGTTTCAGATCAGAAAATATATTTCCTGGTAAAAGCAAAGCTGACTGACATTATTAATTTTTACATATATTTGCTAGAAAAAATGGGACACAGCAAAATACTAAAACATGCAAACACAAATGGAAATACAATATACAAGGCAAAAACAGAGTTTGTACAATTTTAATAAGCTTGAAGGACAATATTTGGTATGACCACCTTTACTGTCCGACACAGTCTGAATTCTTAGGTAAACTTTTTGTAATGTCTTTTCGCGGTCTTCTGGAAAAGAGCCTTGAATGCCCTCCAGGTATCTTGAAGGACATTCAAGGCTTTTCTTTGGATGTCTCTGTGTAGATGATCCCACACTACTTTAGTAATGTCAAGGTGTGATCTCTGGGGAGGCCAAATCTGTTGCTGATATTATTCCACTGTATTTTTTTCAGTCCAGGCATGCTTTTAATACACAACTAGTGTGTTTGGGATGATTGTAATGCTGAAAAATGAAACCAATCAGATGATTTCCATGATTTTTGCATGTTTTCTTCATTCTAAATTCCAATTCAATTTTGACAAAATCCAACTCCACTGGCTGAAATGCAGCCCCTGACCATGACAGAGCGTCCACCATACAATGCAAATGTCTGTAGATACTCACTGTTGTGCGTCTCTCCTAACATCCTGCATATTGACAGCAATTTGAAGCAGAAAAATTCTATTTTGGATTTACCCCACTAGATTCCCTTGCGCTGTCATTGATTTTCAGTTCAGTTCTTGTGCAATGTGGCATAGCTCAGCCTTTTCTCCCTGTTTCCCTTGCTTAAGAATGGCTTCTTGACAGCCACTCTTCCGCTGAGACCATTTCTGCTGAGGCTTCAGCGTACAGTCAACCGTCCAGATGCATCTCTCGGTTCCTGTGTCTAGTCTTTGCTGGATTTTACCTAGGACTTTCATCGATAGCTTTTAGGCCTCACAGTTCTTCTCTTTTCCTTTGCTTATCCAATTTTCACAGACTTTTTAAGGACAGTCCCCACACCATGCCATACCCATTATATATAGGTTAGTATTAGTAAGGAAGCAGCTATCATTAAGTTCATCTTCTTTGCAGGAAATAACCAACATTTTGAAATCAAAATGTCTACATTAATTATCCGAGCAGGGGCATATGTATCTCAGAAGACAATCACTTAATTGAAATTAGCACTGAAGGTCAATTTTTCATAAAGGTAAATTCAATAGCATGACATTTAGCTGTAATTATTAACACTGTGTACTTACATGGCATTTGGCATTGCTTCCTTGAGGAAGCCAACACAAAGGGCCTTTATGGAGTTTTGCCATTTGCTTTTCTACAAGTATTTAATGCTGAAATTATGCATGAGATCTGTGCTGAAAAGGCATGGCTTATCATTTAATGAAAATTAGTTTGTGGTTTCATAAAGACCACGCTCATTTCATTTTAGAATTATAATAACAATATGCTGTGGTATTGTGTATCCTTGGAAAACTGGTGGGATAAATGGAAATTAATATCCGTTCATATATAAATCTTTGAATGCAGACAAAAGATTTAAACTCATGTTTGTCATATGCTACATTTTTGATGTTGCAACAAAGCCAGAGCACTCATTTGTATTTCAGGCTATCGCCACCTTTTTTTCTCCAGAGTTTGTGCTGAAACGTACGAATAAACAGGGAGCACGGCAGCTATTTCACCTTGTTCAAAGTGCAGTGTTTCCATATTGTGCTAAATTGCTGTTTTCTCTTGTCTGTGAATTTACATAATGATCAGTGGTTAGTCGTCTGCTGAGCAAGTGGAAATGCAATAGTTTGTTTGTTGAGGTCAAAATTGAGGTCATTACTTTGGGTATTCAGGTGTAACATTACATGCTTTTAAAGCTAATCAGATGTGGAGTTTTATTCACGTGGAGCTGCAGAGTGCTGATGTACGAACACAGGATTAAAGTGGAGTAATTGAATACTTTTTCTTTTCACACACAATTCAGTGATACACGTTTGTTCTGTTCCTCATGTTTCATCAGTTTTGTTTTGTTTTTGTTTCATTTCCACTTCTTTAAGTTATTTAGGCCAACAGTTCAAATTTCTAAAATAGAAATATTAAAAAAGCCTTTTCATAGATTCACATACCTAATCTAGATGCTTTCCATTTAGCTTTGTTTTATTTTACATGAAATTAATATAAGTAGACATGTGCCTATAGCTCTTTATGTGACATAAAGAAATCAAACAAGGCTTTCAAAAACATCTCACAACCCACACGCACGACAAAGGTGAGGGTGAATTTGGCACAAAGGCAAAGAAATAAAAAAATACACCCAACAAAGAGTGTGAGGGTGTTAAAGAACTACATGGACTTGAACTGAAACTGAAGTGAAGCATCTAAACTAGAAATGTATGTGCAAAATGTACAGTGATGTGCTTTTGAACTAAAATAAACAATGAAATAATTATTTAATGCAAAAAAAATCTGTCCGGTCAGCTGTACAGTTCTGTTAAGGCCCATAATTATTTAATGATTGCTTTACTTCTTGCAAATTTTATAAGTGCTCCTAAATATAGTATCTGCTTTAGCTATTCTTTGAGGACAGAGGGACACGTGAGATTAATTTCTGTAACGTATTTTAAAAAAAACATCCAAAAAGCAGGTCCTCCTGTGGAAGCAGCGAATGAATAAAACTAAATGTAGTTAAGTGTGAAACCCTCCTCTGCCAACTTATTTTAAAACACTGCAGTACAATTAACCTTTGCTCTGTGCATGAAATAGTTTTTCACAGAATAGTGGTGTACTCATTAATAAATTTTAATTATCTTTTTTTATATAGCTGTTGTAGATACTGAAAAGATCCATTATGGGAAGCGACAGAAGTCAGGTCATAATGAAAGCGGAGAGGACGCTGGAATTAAATGTTGGAACTAATGAGTAACAAATTCATCTCAAAATCTTCAACGCCAAGGTAGAATAATAATATTACCAGCATCGCCACATTTATTGTCATCATCCATATCGGTTTCTGCTCTACTTGATAAACCAAAAGAAGCAAAAGAGATGGAAAGAATGACAACGATCTGCAGTAAAAGCAAAGAGAATGGCTGAATAGATGTGCTAGAGTTAGAAAGTTGCAAAGCTGCATGTTTGCTTACCTGTGGAGTGACTCTTGCACAAAGCAGGACACCTGAATGCACCCAGCCAAGAATTCTGGCAATTAGGTTTCAAAGAAACAATCGTTTTATGAACATATGTATTTTTTTGTATTTGGCGAAAGCACTGTACATTGATCTGTTCCACAGTCCACATACTGCAACACTGACATTACTGAAGGAATGTTAAAAGTTAGCTATATATTCAACTTTACACAGTCTTATGAACAGCTCCCGGTGCCTACAGTCTTTGTCTGTCTGTGGCATCATCCATAGTTCTTCATGGGTTAGAGTCAATTTTTCACCGTTTTTTACAAGAGTATCTGATTGAGCCATACAGCTCAATGTCAGAACGGAGTGACATGGAAGGATATTTTTGCTGTTGGCCTTTTGCCCTCATAAAGAATTTATATGCCCACTGAAATCGATGATTGATATTTCATCTTGTCTTTTAGCGAGTAACCTTCCGATGACCCGGCCTAAGAGCGAGAAATGTGACAAGTAGTCCTTTTGAAAAACAGAAAATAAAAAGACCTTTTTTTTGTTAAGAGAATGGGGGAACACGTCCTTCTGTCTGTCCGTGTTCTCTTTCCCTTGATGCAGAGATTCTAGATCATTCCAGCAAGCCAAGGAGGAAGAAAGAGTCCCACAGATCCCAGTATACACACCAGCACAAACATCCAGAGGAATATCCTGTCAATGACCATGGCCACATACTTCCAGTCCTCCTTGACCTAGCAGAGAGGGGAAACAGCACAGGGGGACATTTCAAATTTCACTCCACACCACCTTCCTTTTCTACCTGTCAGTTTTCACCCTTGATTGATTTCTCACGAATGGCTGATTTTTTTCATTATGAGTCTGCTATCTCTTAAATGTCAGTCAATCCTTGCTTGTGTCTCTTATGAAAAATTCAAGGTCAAATTGCGGAGGTCCCATTGTTTTAAAGACAGGCCTATTCTGGTTAGAGCTCGAAAGCGTATTGTGGCGTCGACGGTGACTGATGTCAGTGAATACAATAGGTTTTTATTACATTTGCTCACATATATCCTCCAGAAACGTATTTTTCCCCTCTCAGAAACTTTATAATTAGCATTTTATCACTATGTGCTGAATTTTTTTTAATTATTTGACATGTAATACTTGTTCCAAGCACAGTTTCAGGGTTATGTTTGAAAGCAATAAAGAAAATTCACTTGTCTAATGGTCAATTTTAATTAGGTTGCATAAGCATTTGTATGTGCGACTGTTCACACTGAGTTGCCCATAAGAGCTTCTAAATAAGACAGCGTTCTTTTATCATCAGAAAATCCCGATTACTGTTATTACTGACTCAGTCATGTCACTTTTATCTTGCTTTTTAATAATTAGCAATGGTAAATTGACTTGTCATTTATGGGTCTGATACTTGATTGTCATTATGTGTTTATGTGCTCTTCCTTTCTTGCATCCCTTCTGAGTTTTTGGGTATGCGCATCCTCAACATATGCAAAAGCCATGGGAGCAGTATATAAACATGTATGTAAATGCCAACAACAAATGTTTTGAAAAGAAACAAATATGATATTGAAAGTCTTATTATACTTTGTATGATTTACAGTGAGCAGAATCAGTAGTTTAAAAATATATTCGTGTTGGCAGGGGTGATTTGGCCCTGTTCTTTTTCTAGTCAATAACATTTTTAAAGCCTCCTCCTAGTACACAGCATAGACAGGAAAAAGTACAGTATGTGAACAATGCTGCATGCAGTGGAGCTCTGCATACATAGATGATAAAAAGCAGATAACAACATAACCATTTTTTATTTTTATGCAACACACAAAGGACAGCCCACACTGCTTAAAACACACTATTTTTCCAGTTATTCTGCAAAGCAGCACGCATTTATCTGAGAACTGTAACACGATTTATTTGTTGTCACTCAGTGGCTGAGTTCAGCTTAGCTGGATCTCTGACATGCAAAATAACAGGGTTCCTTGTTTGTTCAGGATTACTTCCATCCTCTTTTGCAAGAGAAAAGAAAGAAGGGGAGGAGCACTGCTTGGTGGGAGTGAGCACAGGGAACATACATGTAGGCTTTTTGCATGGAAGTACATTTCACCCCTGTAGGATCCAGTCAGAATCTACTGTTTTTATTTAATGTTCCTCTGACACCTTAAATGCCTGCAGGCAAAAGATGCGAGGTAGTTATGGGTTTTTTTTTACAAACAAACTGACCTTTTAGAAATGTGCCCGCTGAGGTACCATGTTTCTCCTGCTGGGATCTGACTAATTTTGAAATTGAACAAATCGTGACAGATCAGGTATTGGATTTTATTCTCCCATTTACTTCAGTCTCTAAATGGTAGCTCAAAATTACACAGTGTGGTTTTTGTCCTGTCTGTCTCCTCTCATTCCCAACTAGCCGTGGCAGATAGCTCCCTGAGCCCGGTTCTGCCGGAGGCTTCTTCCTGTTAAAAGGGAGTTTCTCCTTCCCACTGTTGCCAAGCGCTTGCTCATAGGGGGTCATTTGATTGTTTTGGGGTTTCTTTTTCAAATTATTGTAGGGTCTTAACACTAAAATATAAAGCACCTTGAGGTGACTGCTGTTGGGATTTGGCAATAGATAAATCAAAAATTGTGCTAAAAGCCCTTATTTAATTTCTGAAAGGATTTCACTTGTGTTTAAAACAGAACATTTAGAAACATTATTACCAAGGCTTGATCGTTTCTGTCTACTCACTGAAAAGTCTGCATCTTCTGCCCTGAGATGATCAGCGATGTACTGCACTCCCTCTATAGCCCGTTTCATAGCTGGAGAAATAGTTGGAATCACAGCATCCTGTTGGGTACTTGCATCTTTTGTGGACTCTGCTGTTAGGGTTTCTGCTAGCTGATCTGTAGGAGGAGTTTTTTTCAACTGCCCCATTATTCCAGAGACCCCATCATCATGCAGACAGCAGTACTGGACACTGCTGGAGCGACACAGATGTCTGGCTTTCTGAGGAAGCGACTTCTGTTGGTCACACATTTGCTCTACGCTGTGGGAGCGACCATTTGGGGCCAGTCTACTTGGTTCTTCCCTCGACAGGTTGCGAAGTGGACCCAGTGGCAAAGTTGGGGGCAATGACAATTGGGAAGAAGACGAGGCCGCTGAGTTGTGTCTGCGTAGGGGTTGCTTCTCTGAGAGAACTGAATACTGACCAGATGTGGATTGGCTGAAAATGTCGGCCTTCAGTGGGTGATCTTCTTCATTGTGCTTCCCAAGAGGGGAAGAGGGTGGAGATGGTGAGCAGACGAGGATGCTTGGGCTGTCAGACTGTGTCCTTGGGATTATATTTTCAGCCTGGGCCATTTGTATTAGCCCAGTCTCTAGGCCTGTCCAGAAGGCCTGAGAGTTGCCTGTGGCAGATATCGTTGTTGGACGGTGCATCATCTCAATAAGCTTCTTGCAGTGCTGCTTTGCGGTGCCTGGCGGACGCTTCATGAAGAGGACCTGAGGTACCAAGTCCAGGAATACTCTGCGGACCCAGTGAGGCATGCCATGTGTTTGTGGGGATCGGTGGTGTACATTCAACACAAAGACGGTAATTATGATGGAGAGCGTGACAAAGACCATAGTGAACAGCAGGTATTCACCAATCAGTGGTATGACCAGAGATGTAGATGGTATTATCTCTGTTATCAGCAGGAGGAACACTGTTAAGGACAGTAGCACTGAAATGCACAAGGTAATCTTCTCGCCACACTGGGAAGGCAAATAGAACACCAGCACAGTCAAGCAGGAGATAAGCAGACAGGGGATAATAAGGTTTATAGTGTAGAACAATGGAAGCCTCCGAATGATGAAGTAGTAAGTGATGTCTGCATAGATCTCTGTGCAGCACTCATACTTTTTTGTATTGTACTTGCCCACTGCATTGACAATCACCCACTCCCCACTCTCCCAGTAGTCCATCTGGTCCACATCACCGGCCATGCTGATCAGATCGATCTTGGCACGGTCATAGGTCCAAGAGCCGAACTTCATCTTGCAGCTTTGCTGGTCAAAAGGGAAAAACGTGACATCTATGCTGCATGAAGACTTATAAATGGCTGGTGGCATCCACTTTATCTGGCCATCGTAGAACAGATGCGCCTTTGTGAAGTGAGTAACTGCAAAGTCACCGTCGGCACTGCAGATGAAGACCAGGGGAGAAAGGTGGAAACACATATATCAGACTCACATCACATTTTAGCCCCTCTTTAATAAAGGAATTTTATAAGTTTAATTCTGGGTGATTTCTTCAAGCACTACTTTAAAATGTTCAAGGTCAGTCGCAGCTCACAGGTAGAGTAGATGTTCAGTTGCCATGGAGGTAACTAAGTCTTTTTCATTGGAAAACTCAAGTAACAAATAAGATTTTTTGCTCAATAGATACAGGAGAAAGTTAAAGAAGTGGTGTTATCCGTTTTTACAGTTTCTAACCCTGTGAAATTCAGGGGTCGAGACTAATTTAAAATGTATTTAAAAGATTAAGTATTCTGAGTCATCAAATAAAAAGTGAAAATGTCTTCATCTATGTCAATGACACTTATGTTTATGTGTGTACATCTCTAAATGGGCAAGATGTCATGTCTTTAACATTCTGTTGGTGTCCAGTTTGTTCATTATTCAGTTCATTCACAGTCTGTTGTTGCCTTTTTGTTATCTCTTCATGCTCTACTTGTGTTTGAGTCTGTCTCCATTGAGTTACTTCCTGTTTTATTTTGGTGTTCCTTGTCATTTTCTTTTCTTTTTTTGCAGTTCCTGTGTCTCATTATCCCTGATTTGTTCCAGCTGTGTTCCCCATCTTTTTCCACCAGCCTCATTAGCTTTTGTATTTATTGTCTCAGTCTTCCCTTGTCCTTTGTTGAGTGGCTCCATATTTCTGTGTGTTCTCTAATGTTTCTCTGAGTCTTGTAGTATTTGTTAGTGTTTCCTATCCTGGAGTAATTATTCCTCATTATTCCATTTTCCCGTTCTTATTTTGGACTGTTTCCCTTTCATCAATCCTCCACTTAATGCTTGCTTTATGCTGCACATTGCATTTGGGTCCGCATGCAGCTACCACTTTCCACACAGCTTATGATTTTCTGTTTAGAGACGTTTATGGAACAATTCAGTGCTAACATGATATAATTTTCGAGACGTGAATAAGGTCTTCATGAGCCAGAGGAAAACAGAACTTGAAGATACAGTTTTGTCTCAGGGGCCCGTTCTTCGTACCTCGCTAAGTAGGTTAGCCGGATTAGATTGTTGACGATTTCGCGTGATCCTGGATCAGTCGGTTCCCCGAAGCTCATCCGGGACTTGCTGTCATAGCAACAGAGCCGTAAGTGTAAACCTGCTCGGGAGCAGGTTTACTTTATGTAAACAGGATTAGATCGCGGCCACGCAGGTATGTCCGCTTCATTTATACGAAAGCAACAGCGATATTTTTCCACTGTTTCACCATAAATAAATATTATCAATGTAACTAAAGGTAATGCAGCACTTGATCCTTTTATTGATGTCACACAGATACATACAGGTCATTTCCTAAAAAAGGGAAATGAACTATTAACATTCTATTACATGTATGTGATTATTACAGATGTAATTCATATTTCAGAGTAGTAATTGTAAATTACTTCGTGTAATCAAGATGAGAGACCACGGCTATAAAAGTGAAGGTGGATTTGGGAAGCCTGTCGCAGCCATGTCCTGTCCGTATACGCGACCAACCCATTGCGGAAGGTGCAAGATTGATAAGGAGAGTCCTCAGAATTCAGCGTATATTGCGGGACAGACAGGATCCTTTACCTCAGCGCGACAGTGTGCTCATAGAGAGATATCGATATTCCCGTGAGGGTATTATTTACTTAACCAACTTGTTGACGAGGGGGTGCAGGACCACCACCTGTCTTTTTTTCCTCTGCCCTTTTCTTGGTTGCTGTTATGAACAAACTAACAGAGTATTACAGGCCAGTATTACCTTGCCAAGAGACGCAAAGCAATCTAAGAGATAAATATTACCATTCTGTAGAATACTCCTGTATTCCACTTTTACTTGTTCCCATTTTCTTGTGGGTCCTGTTGTGGCTCTAATGTGAAAGGGGATATAATATAACATATTATAATATAATATAATGCCATATGATATTGGACAATATAGTGTCATATGATAGATCTACCCTACCGCCTACTGGTGTTGGCCAGAGGGGCCGATGGCGCGATATGGCAGCCTGGCTACAACCGTAGCTGCCTCCACCAGTGTGTGAATGTGGGAGTGAATGAATAGTGGTATCGTAAAGCGCTTTGGGTGCCTTGGAAAGCGCTATATAAATCCAATCCATTATTATTATTATTATTAAATTACCTGCGAGTTTGATTTGTCAGCAACTTTCTGCCAGCCCTCTCTCCTTGCTTTTGCAGCCTTTGCAGTGTTCTCTTGCGTTTTAATTAAACTCTGAAACTCCTGAAATCCCTCACTCATGAGTTCTTGCTCTGCTGCCGGAAAATACCGAGCACGCCCCTTCGACATTTTCGCTGACCAATCAGCGGGTTGCCGATCAATGTTTCTACTATCGATGCGTAGCCCCTTTTACGACACCCAGTGATGTCACATTCCTGCGTCCAGCTGTAGTAATCGTCAACAGCAGGTGTGTTCGGGGAACCGGATTAGCGAGCTCACGGTTAGCGCGATGATTTGATCTTGGATGTGTCATTTGATCTTGGATGTAGTAAGCGACGTACGAAGAACGGGCCCCAGATCTGAAATCTCCTTTGTGTACACAACAGTCCTGCTTTTACACACCTGATACCAGTTATTACATCCACCCTCATCGTGTGAACCAGCAATCTCAGTTCTACATCTCAAGGTGCAGAGCTCATTCCAAACCATTCAGCTCAAGTCTACAGAGGAAATAGCTTGAACCTATGTAATCAGAAAACCCTTTTGATGTTTATTTTCTCTGAATGGACATGCAGGCTATTCACAATGTAACATTTTGCTGTTTAAATCAATGCTGTTTACAAAAGTCTTTGAGATATTGTGTCACAAATGCACTTCACAAGTGAGATCGCCATGTTTTGCCTCACTAATTAAAAGAGAGAAGTGACAAAGGTTCAGTCATTTCACCATGAAAACAACAATCTTTGTTCAATAACTTAAAAGTTGGATATTTAGCAAATTCTTTCATGAAATTTTCTTTCCTATTAGCCGACTTTTGGAAAAAATATTAATCCAGGTTTACTTGAGGTGCTCATACTAGATGCATTTTATCTTTGAAATACATCCAGTTACATTTCACCTTCTTATTCCCAGCCAAATATATTACTTTCTGTCATACTGAGCTTTGTTTGTAACCACATCCATTAGGAGTGACCTTGTTCACATATATTTCAACTAAATTACTTTATGACATTGGCACAGGACAAGATGTTTGGCACAACAGCAGATTCTTCGTGTTTTCCCTCAAGTCATGCCATCTGTTGGAATTAAACCACCAGAATCTGAGCATTACTTGCCATATGATCATTTTTACATTGAAATGTTGACATTTAAAACGCACAGGAAGCACACTGTGGGCCTGAAAAGAATCTAAATTTCATATAGCACAAAAAGGTGTTTCCTTCCTCACTTGTTGTAGAGGACAATGTCGGGTCTCCAGATAATCTCTGAGGGGATACGTATGGAGGTGACATTTTCATAATCCTCTGGGTTCCAGCGGAGTTTGTAATCGTTCCATTCCTGTTGCAAAACATTAATCATATTTATGCATCGCAGCGTTATACTGGACTGTATTTCACATGCCTTTTCTCTATCATCTTTTCTTACTTGCTTAACCCAGACATTTGTAGTCATCATCTGGTTCTTCTCATCCTTTTATGGAAAACAGAAAAGAGGATTACTCTGATTACAATGAATTCAACGTCCATCAGCACTTTATTACCACTGAGATAGAATTGAGTTTTTTCTTTCTCTCTTTTTTATGGTCCTCCCCCAAACTAATGGGGATGGGATTTTGTCCCCATAAGTGAGTGTTAGTCCCCACAAGTACAGTAGTATGGCAGTGGTCTGTCCTCACAAAGACGTCTAAACAAGTACACACACACACACACACACACACACACACACACACACACACACACACACACACACACACACACATTCATGAATCATTTCTAGAACAGATCAACCAGAACAAAAAACACTTTCACTTCTTTGCAGGCAAGCTGCTTTCTCCAGCTCTTCCCTGGGAACTTCTAAGACACAGCAGGCAGTGAATGCACTGTGCAGGAGAAGACAACTTCACCTAAAGTTGACTCTCACCGGCAGGCAGGTGGAGAAAGTACTGTCAACTAATTGTTTGTCATAAACCTGAAAAGTCATCCCCTGCAGCACAGTCTTGCACTGGGTAACTTTTAAATGGCTCTGCATGGCAGTCGGGTGTTTATATAATCATTTTTACCTTAGTCAACAGAATCTCAGTGACATTTGTGTAAAATGCATACTAAAAGCTTGCACTTAAAACCACAGGAGGTCTGGAATGCAAAGATACCAACATGACGAGAGGGGATAACGACGTTATTTTTGTCTAGAGCAGCTGTGTCTGGATTGCTGCTCAGGAGACAGATTTGAATATTTACTGTCTGTGTTAGCATACTTGAAAAGTGAATTTAATTTGGGAAAATAATGCATTGTCTTCTGTTGGTGTGCTTTCATTTCCGCTGATTTATCTCTCTTGCGTGGTGTATCTTTCAGCTAGTAATTACCAATATACAGCACATAAGACAGAATCTCCTCCCAACATAACACTCATAATAATGAAACACATGTCTCATGCCCATTCAACAAGCCAGGATGTTTGTAATTACAAGGATAGCTTTTTTGTTAAATCGTTACAACTTTAGTGATATATGTATTTAGATATTTACATAAATGGTAACTTAATTACAGGTAGTTAAAAAAAGCTATTTAATGATCAGAGTCCCATTATGGAGCCATAACATCGAAATGTCTCGCAGTCGTTTCTTTTCTCCTCAAAGAAGAAACACACAGATCGTGTTATTTTTGAAGGGCACAGTGGTAGCTAGACTTTAATGTCCAGTCGTAGATGTTGATGGAAACTTAACAAAGATGTCAGCTATTACTTACCACATCAATTAGCTGAGCGATAGATAGTCCAAAGTGGACTAGTACTGTATCTGTAGTGTTCCTCACAGGTCGGGAGAGCTTATTGTAATTTGCAAACAGATTCTGGAGCAGCCTCTCTTCAGCGTGGGCACGGGGTCCAAGTTGGAAACACACTGAGGCCAGAAATGAGAAAAAAATTCAACAAAACAAGAAGCTGAGATTAATCGTGTGCCGTCCTGTTTATGTAATTTAAACGAGACCAATTGATCTTTACTTAGAACTGCAACTGCAATGCATAGGATATTCTTTCCTACGTTTTTTTTTTTTTTTTTTAACTCCATGGTGATTTGTACCAGTTGATTTTGTGCAGGGCTCTCGTGCATATTCTCATAACCATTTTGAATTGTTTCTATTTTTGTTCACATATTCATGAAATACAGGGCAGAACTTTATACGAATACTATTAATGTTGAAAATATTTGCTTCCATTCACAATACATTAATCTGTAATGGATTGAGCTGATGCTATGATACCAAAGAATACAGAGTGTAATCTAAAAGTAGGGTGACCTCTATTATACAGCTGGCCTATGGTTACATGAGACGGGATCTGAGAGACGGGACAAATCAGGATGGAGGGTTTGGGGTGGGGGGGTTGCATAAAAGGAATAAGAGGAAGGAACAAACGTGCTGATGGAGCGATCTGTCCAGACATTTCCCTCACCACCCTCCTCCACCCACCCTCCACTCTCTCCCTCTCCCTTTCTTCCTTTCAACAGCCGTCCTGATGAAGCAACTCAATCAGATCCCTCGGCACTGAGAAGGACCCGGCGAGGTCTGGGGACAATTAAAGAGAAAGGGATGATCCTGTGCCTTCGACAGGACGACGTCCTTTGCATTTTGGTTCTTTCCTTTCACATTCACTTGGGCACTTTTCCATTATAAACCTTGTTGCATCTGTGCAGGTAATTCATTGTGTTTGCAATCTTTCAGAGGCAGTGATTGATTTAACTGGCCTCACTGATATTTTATCATCTCTAGCAGTACCACACAGTTCAATGTCTTTCTTTCTCTTTGGATTTAATTTGTTTTGTCAAATATCACATGAAAAAAATAATCCTAAAGAGGACCCTTCCAAACTAGATTCTTGTGGTTTCTGGACAACATTAATATATTCGCCAAACACACTTGCTTGGCTCAGGCCCCTATAGAAAGGACGTGAGAGGACCTTTCTATAGGCTTCCATTAGTAACTTCCACTTTTCTAAGGCTATATTATTCCAAACGCCCCTTACTTGTATCCTTAAAATAGCGATACAGGTGTTGTTGCCATGCTGCTGGCCTTCCTCTTGGGTCCTTCTACCCACTCAATCAAAGTTGATGGGCTGTCTTTCAGTTGACTGAAAACTGGCATCCACTATTTTTAAAAGCTTGGGATCGATATCTTATTAAATGGATATAGTTTCTTTTTCCTTTCATGTCTTGTCTTCCTGTTTTCACCTGGATCTGTTTGACATTTCCAGACACCCAACAACCTTGAAATGCTGTTACACGTTCAGACGAGAGAGGCCGTCAAAGGTGGCGTTTGTTTTATCGCATCAAATTCTAGCATTATCTGTTGAATGCGACCAATATTAAACTAAACCGGAGGCTCAAGTACATTCTAAATCAGCCTTGGGACTAATGGGTTTATATGGGAGAGCTCACAGGGTGTTGTGACTTTGGTAAAAAATGCAGATTAGAGCAATAATCTTTGCAGGGAAAAGTAGGCAACTGTTAGATGAGTTTACTTCTACATGGTGTGTTCTCCATTACACTATGAATAAGACTCATGCAGACTGTGATGATGCCAGTGTCTGTCACTCGTTATCGTGAAGTTTTTCTTATATTGCTGTATTTTACAGTTTTCTGAAGCTACAGCAAAGCCTGATGAGTTATTTGGACGTGTCAGAGCTACTGGGTCCAAATCTGTCCTCATCTGATCAATGCTGTCTCATAGGACACTATTTCTCTATTTTACTTGTTAAGCACCTTGGCATACCCTTGGTTTTTAAGTGTGCTTTATAAATAAAGTTTATTATTATTATTATTATTATAGGACAGTATTGCATCAGAAGCAAATTAGTTTTCACTCAAGTGAATACTACACAACCAGGCAGATGAAGCTTGTTACCAGGCTACAAAGCTCGCGTAGCAACACAGGCAGTTTCTACCCTTCAGCAGCAAACTACAGAAAACAAGTTTTTTTGTCCCAAAGGTCGTGTGTTTTTATGGTTGTATTGTTCATTGTGCCAAATTAGCCCTCAGCAAAAATCATTGCCTGTCTAATAAGTAATGAGACTGGGGTGGACTGAATATAGATGACTGGGGTAAGGAGAGAGGCTTATATTAAATAGAAAAGCAAGGCCATCTGATGCCTTTCAGTCGTTTCTCTGAATTGCCCTGCTATTTAGGGCAAATCTATTGAAATGGCACAAATACAGGCAGTTCTTTTGAGTCATGCAGTAAATTTCTTTGTAAGCCAACTTTGTTGATGCTGATAAACTTGACCAGCGTGATATTTTAAACAGAAAAAAGAGGAGTGGAAAAAAAATCTAATTTGAGATGATTAGTAGCTAAAAAACCCTCCTCTTTCAATATATACTTCTGCCTTCAGCAAAAATGAAAAATGCATAAACATCCTTCGCATCGGTTTCCCCTATGTTGAAAAATAAAATGACAGATGATGCAGCTTTAATGACAGCACGGTGGAATTATTTACCTTGTGGAGGAAGAGTGAAGAAAAGTAAGCTCAAACATTTGTAGAAATCCATAGTGATCCAGCAGTACCCAACTCTATCAGTGAACTCCCTCCAACTTCTGCTGGATTTCAGTCATAGCAGAAGTGATCAAACCTGGAAAGTCTGCCCTGTGACAGCAGGTCATCAAGGGGTTCAGATCAGGTTAAACACCCAGACGCAGAGGTCACGTCAGTCTGAGTCAACCCAGGGTCCGGCGGTCCTCCTGATTCCATCTCTCCATCTTTTCACAATCTCTTTTGTCCAGTCATAGCAGTATGAAGGACCCACAGACACATAGTGTAGTTTTTCTCATCCAACACTTCAAAGTCCCTCCTCCTCCTTCCACTGGAATCCTTCATCCAAGTGTGGCTGGCTTATCCTTCTCTTCTCCACCCTCCCTGTCAACATTACTCCCTCCCTCGCCTCTCATCTCTCCGCCTCCTCACCTCATCTCTCCCTCTCTCTCTTTCTCTCCCCCCTCTCTCTCTCACACACCTCATTTCTCTCTTTGTATTCTATCTTTCCCTCCTACTTACATATTTCTTTTTCTCCCTGTTCCAGTTTTCTCTTCTTCACTTTTTTCATTGAAAACAGAACTTTTTGTCAGTCTCTTTCTCTCTCTGTGTGTGTGTGTGTGTGTGTGTGTGTGTGTGTGTGTGTGTGTGTGTGTGTGTGTGTGTGTGTGTGTGTGTGTGTGTGTGTGTGTGTGTGTGAGGGAGAGTGTGAGAAGGAGTGTGGGGTGGGATTGGTAGGAGGATGGGGTAGTGGATGTCGATTACTGGTACATACAGCAGCAGCGCTGTGTGGTTTTCTTGACCAGTTATTTGTATGTGAGCTGTGTTACAGTGTATGTGCAGCTACCTGTCAAAGTCCACTGTGTTAAAAAGTGCCAGTGAGTCACAGGACCTCTGGATACTCTTCAACCTCCCCTCTGCACTGTTTCCCACGAGCACTCCCCCCGCCCACCCTTTCTCCCCCACTCCTTTTTCTTTTAAACACCCCTGACCCTCACACACTGTCAATTTTTCATGTGACGTCTCACACACAGATGAAGACTTCTTTTTCTCTATAGCATCTTACTTCCCCCCCAGTCTGCTTTCAGCTTTTATACGTCAGCAGAGCTCAATGCCAAGGCTAGCCATCTATTGAGACAGTCACATTTGCTTGAGGTGTATTTCCTGTTGCTGAATATCTTTTTCATTTTTCTCCAGCAATGTCAAAATGTCACCTGAGAATGAGAACTGGAGAGCCTTAAAAAAATGTAAGCGTCATCATTACATGAGGATGGGTGAAGGAGAAGCTGACTTTTGACTTTCTGACAGTTCTTCCTGAGTGTTATATGACAGAGTGAAAGAAAAGATGTGCAAACAAAGATATATTTTGCTGTTTTAGTTGTCTTTGTCAGATATGCTTCTCTGTGAGCCCACAGAGAAGAGCCTCTGCAGAGCACGCATTGATTTTTTCTAATCAAAGACGAAGTTCTCTTGATCCAGCGATGACTAACTGTGACGTGACAGATGAAGAGATTCCTCTCGCCAGTTTGCCACCACGAGCACAGATCCACATTCTTGCCATGAGAGATTTGATAGCTGATTATTTATTTGGATTGCTGACAGGAGTCAGGCAGGAATTTGTAAGTGGGACAATGTAGCAGCAGGGAGCACTGGAAGAGGAAATTTCACTTACAGTAAAAGGGCACGGTGCACAAACAGGCCAATTGCCTGGTGGCTGTCGCATATTAGTTTATCTCACACCCACATGCAGACACATATAGTCTCCCTCCGCGGCCATCTCATCAGATGAAAAGAACCATCTGTGCTTTTTGCTTTGCGAATGGTAAAGGAGAATATGGTATGGTCACCTCTTCCTGCAACCTCCTTAATAATTCATCTTGTTCTGATATTGCAGCACCTCTGCTGATCCCCAAACAAACACTTTGACCTCTGCTCCAGATGGTCACAAACTAAACACACGTGCTGACCTGGTGGCGTCCCTTTAAAGCAGGAAGATGAGTGGCTGCAATCTTAACTGCAGTGCACAGTAGGTATTTCAAATGTTTATCCTTAACAATAGTCACTTCCAAAGTTGAACCATGTGGCATTTGATAAAACCTAGCTGGTTTGTATATGTGCAACGCATGTCAGGGTTGGGAATCTGGGTGTTGCGGTGTCAGTCTGCCAGCCTGTATATTAAACTTTGTCCATTGGACTTTTCCTCTGGCGACAGTACCACGAGGTTGACATTTGTGCTTTAAAGTGATGTGTTTTGATAACCATTAAATGGGGTGCCATGCAATTTGGAGCAGTCGATACTTTTCCCTCTCATAATGAAGAGTGATTGCTTTTGTGACGCCTTGATTTTTCATCTAGCACAATTACCAGATCAACATTTTAATTTGTCCAATCCTATGATTTACAAGCAGCTATATGCAAAACTAATAACACTCTGGAGACTCAGCTGCATTTTGTGTTAGATGCAAATGAGCTAATTTAGCATGCAACCATGGTGAATTAGAAGCATGGACTGTATGATACTGTATAGCCACATACTAACAGGCTGACTGTACCTCACCGAGGTTCACAGACCCTTCCAGCATGGTTGTTTGGATCCTGTTCCAAGCTTTCCGGAGCTACCAAGAAAAATAAATAATTCAGCCACTTTGGTGAAGAGAACATAATGAAATTTGCATAATTTAAAGCTCAAATCACAGTTTGGTGCTTAAATGTCATGACTTGAAATGTGATCTGTTGCTTTACTGATGCTGATTCAAGCTAAACAGTGCATCACTCATGGTGTTAAATTGAAGTTTGCTAACTTGACTGATATGTGGTAAATAAGCACCATCTGCCATCAAACATGCAGTTTATTCACTGTTGACAATAGTGGCTGATTCTAATTGTGCACACATTATTATTTCGTTCAATAAACAAATTGCATTGCTTTTACCAAAATCTTCACTGAGGAAACATCGTTTTTATAAGTGGTATCCCTATGTTGGTGCTGAGGGATCACCAGCACACATGAGGTATTATTTGATTTTCAAAAATTTGACCTGATGGGGAAAATATGCAGTTAAAGAAAAGATCTCAATGCTAATCTCCAGATGCAAGTGAGCCAAAACATTTTAATGGGTGCTGGGCACATTTCTGCATGATGGCACAAAAGTTGTTAAGTGATTTATCTTAGTTCACCAAATAGTACTGCAATTGTAGCACCCTGCAGTTTTCAAATTGTTTTTAGCTTTTGATCAATCATCAGTCTGGGAAATCTCCTTCTACCCCAGGAGTATCAGACTCATTTTAGTTCATGGGCCACATACGGCTTAATTTGATTTCAAGTTGGCTGAACCATTAAAACAAAGCCATAATAAACCACATGAAACACAGACCCCTCTAAACTGCTCATTTCTTGAATTGTAAAGAACTACATTTAAAAAAAAAATTGCATTTCCATATTTAATGAGCCATGCATTTACAAAATAGATGATGAACATCCTGAAATTTTCTTAAGAATATAAAACACGGTGTCAACAATATGTCTCACTTTTCCCATGTTCAGTGAGCCTGTTGCCATTAAATGTGCACACCAACTCACAGATCATGGTTGTTGTACAAAAACTCCACATGAAGAGCATTCTTTTATTAAATGAGTACAATACTTTATATTTATATGGCTCAATCTGTTTGAATGCAAAAACACTTTTATGTTTCCAAATATTTATAATAAGTTTTGAACTGATGATTTTATTTACTAAGGGAAAAAAGGTTCCTACTTATTAAAAAAAGATCCAAACCTACCTGACCCTATGTGAGAAAGTAACTTCCCCCCAAACTAATAACTGTTTGTGCCACCATTGGCAACTGCAATCAAGCGTCTGTGTTAATTAGCAATGAGTTTTTCACATCACTGTGGAAGATTTTGGCTCACTCTTCTTTGCAGAATTGTTGTAATTCTGCTATATTGCAGGTTTTCCCAGCATGGGTCGCCTGTTTAAAGTCATACCCAAGCATCCCAATCAGATTTAAGTCCAGACTTTGACTAGTTTTCTCTCTGGATGCCACGTCTGTGCAGTCTCTGTCTTATTGTTGAATCTTAAACTCTTGTTTTAACTGTGGCAAGTGACGCCTGCAGTTCTTCAGATGTTGTTCTGGGTTCTTTTTCACACATAGGGCCAGGTAGGTTTGGATAGCTTTTTAGGTTATCTTTGTCTAATATTTAAATTTGTTTGATGATTTGAAATGTTTAAGTGACATATATGCAAAAAGATAAGAAATCAGGAAGGGGTAGGTACCTTTTCATAGTACTGTACATATGTAGTAATGCTGGCATTACTTCACTGCTTCATCTTAGTCTTGATGCAGTTGACTGGACCTCACCACAATTTGACTGATTGCTTTCAGTTCCACCAAAGTGAACTGAACTAACCTGGCAAATACAGCAGACTTTGTTTAAACTGAACAAAAGGATTAAATCTAAAAGCTAAGTCCTTCATCAAATGCAACCACTCAATTCTGACCTTGAGAGAAGAAAAAGGAAAGCACCTTTTACTTGAGCACAGAATAACGTAACACTTACAACTCCGACGCCATGAGTACACGAACAGTTATCAGACTGAAGATTCACTCTGACCACAGCTATATGTTAGATAGGATGTATTTATAAAAGATCAGTGTGAGGCACGATAGAGAGTTTATGCTAATCAGACAGTTCATTAGAGCATTAAACTTTAAAGATTAGAAGTACTTTGGATGGACTTCCAAACCGAGTGAAGTATCTGCAGTTTTGATCAGATCACAAAGTGTGTTCCCGCTGAAGTCAGTCTCTATGAGGAGAGCTCCCTGAAACAATCCCTGGATCTGAGATCGCCAGGTCAGCTTTCACCCAACAGCGCATGTTTTGCCTCAGTGATTCACACAGCGTTCTTTGTTATACAGACATGCATCCAGCTTCAGACACACAAACCCACACAGACATAGGGATTCAAGCCATGCATGCATAAACACCTAGCCTACTAGGGTTGCCAAGATCACCTGTCAGTCATGGCTGCTGCCTCTTCAAAGGCTGCACAAAACCCCCTACAGCACTTTTCCCCTGTAATATCTGTTTAAAATGAAAGAGTTTCACATGTGCCTCTATGGGATATAAACAGAAAGCTTTAAATCTTTAAAAATCTCAAAGTATTGCTGCTTTTCCCGCTGCATTGTCTTGTGTTCAGTTTTCTTTTACCATAGATTCAAATTGGAAGCAGTAGATGGATGTACAAGCCATCCTGAATGCTGCTGGCAAAGGCAAATATTGATACAGTTGGATGCCAACTGTGAAGCTAACTG